GTTCTGTATTTTGTTTAACTGGGTAGAATCTGTTGCCACCAGGAAATTTTAAGGATTTCCAAACCTTTATGCTTTTACTTTTGCTCTTACTGGTTTTGTAGACCGAGTTCAAGGCTCACGAGGAACTATGTGGTCCTGGGAAGTATGTCATTCAGAGCTGGTATAAACTTTGATAAAAGAGGATTTATTGAAACAAATACTAAATAAGAGGGTGGTACAATGTAACTTCCCGCCAACCTAGCAGTTCGAAAGCAAGAAATTGCAAGTAGATAAATAGGTACCGCTTCGGTGGGAAGGTAACAGCGTTCCGTGCACCTTGGTGTTTAGTCATGCCGGCCACATGACCACGGAAACGTCTTCGGACAGCGCTGGCTCTTCGGCTTGGAAACGGAGATGAGCACCGCAACCCTAGAGTCGAACTCGACTGGCTTTCGAGCAAGGGAAACCTTTACAATGTAACTAGTAATGTGTAAATGATGAACAATAGCTTTGGTATCACACACAATCTTCTCGCTCACTGACGGGATCTTTTCATGTAACTTTGTAACACTTCTATCTCAATGCCATATGTGTTCACTGTTTCTCTCCCGTTTGTTCAACTTTCAGCTTTCTCTCTCTGTCTCACTGAACAACCGCTGCTGTCAGTTTATAACTGCTTCCACACAGAACTGCTTGTCTAACTAACTAACTGTACATCAACTGTCAACATCTAACTGAAACTACTGACTGACTCCCATACTCATCCAACCAGATTCACTTCCAAAGCCCCTCCCCCTCTCTGTCAACCACCAATCATACCACACTTGCCTCTTTCAACCACTCTAGTCTATCTACCACAGTCATGCAACCAAACTTTTAAAGAGACACACACAGAGAGAAATAAGGAATCATTACACAGCACCTTGAAGTGAATCCGGTAAGCTATTGGCAGCCAGTGCTCAGTTTCCCACTATTTGCTGTGTGGCTGCATTTTGACCCACATTCCCCCCCCCCCAATTCCTCTGCGTCTTCTTGGTCCATTTTTTTTAGGATTGAGGAGACGTGGGGGAAATCAGGGGGAGATGCAGGTCACAATGCGGCCGCACAGCAAATTAGTGGGAAATTGAGCGCTGCATTTTGACCCACATTCCCCCCCCCCAAATTCCTCTGCGTCTTCTTGGTCCATTTTTTTTAGGATTGAGGAGACGTGGGGGAAATCAGGGGGAGATGCAGGTCACAATGCGGCCGCACAGCAAATTAGTGGGAAATTGAGCAGGGCAACCGGGGGAAACGGGGCACCGAGGGCGCAACAACTGCTTTTGCGGAATCGGTCTCTGTATCACACGGTGGCCAAAACCCAGGTGCCATCAGGAGGTCCAACAGCAGGGCCAGAACTCCAGAAGCCCCCCACACTGTGGCCCCACAAGCACAAAGAACACAGAGCATCACTGCCGCAGACATAAGAACAAAAGAGTAGCCATATTGGATCAGACCAATGGCCCATCCAGTCCGACACTCGTGTGTCACACAGTGGCCACAAATACCAGGTGCCTTCAGGAGGTCCAGCAGTGGGGCCAGGACACTAGGAGCCCTCTCACTGTCTCCCCCCCAAAAGCACCAAGAAGACGGAGCATCCCTTGCCCCAGACATAAGAACATAAGAGAAGCCAATGTTGGATCAGGCCAATGGCCCATCCAGTTCAACACTCTGTATCCCGCAGTGGCCAAAACCCAGGTGCCATCAGGAGGTCCAACAGCAGGGCCAGAACTCCAGAAGCCCCTCCCGCTCCAGAAGCTCCTCCCCCAAGCACTAAGAATGCAGAGCATCACTGTCCCGGATATAACATTCCATCTGTAGCTTGTGGCTATTAGCCACTGATGGACCTCTGCTCCATATGTTTATCCAGTCTCCTCTTGAAGCGGTCTGTGCTTCTAGCCGCCGACCTGGGACTTCCTTGGTGGTCTCCCATCGACGTCCTGACAAGGGGTGACCCCGCTTAGCTTCCGAAATCTGAGGAGGTCTGGCTAGCCTGGGCCATCCACATCTGGGCAAACAGAGGCAGTTTGCCACCGCCTGCCTCTGCCTAGCAACTTTTGAATTTCCTTGGTCGTTTCTCGTCCAAGTACTTTCCAGGGCAGAGCAGGCCTGTAGCCAGGATTTTTTAAGTTGGGCGGTGTAATGTACCCATCTCCGACCGCCTGCGAGACTAGCTCTCCACGCGGTCACGCGAAGCGCCCGAGCTTCGCTCCCAGAGACAATGGCCCAAGCGGATCCTAGCCCGTGCCAATCAGAAGGCTAGGCTCCCGCCCGAGAGCCCATGGAACTCTTGGTCACTGTAAACGGCCTATCACTGGTGTGTGTGGGGGTGTGTGTTTGGGGTGTGGGATGGTTGCACATATAAACCAGCCTGCGAGCTGGGTAAGTTGTCTTGTTCTTCACTGGAAATAAAGTATGAGAGCTGAAATCACTAGTAAGTCTCAGTACTTTTCAGGGGGCATTTAAATTCCTTAGGGGGCACAGGCTCATCGCCACCTGCCCTCTGAGCCTGGCCCCAGCACCACGCCAAGCAGCAACCCCCCAGAACTGGGGGGAGGGAGCAGGGAAGAGAACATAAGAACATAAGAGACGCCAATGTTGGATCAGGCCAAAGGCCCATCCAGTCCAACACTCTGTGTCACACAGTGGACAGAAATACCAGGTGCCCTCAGGAGGTCCAGCAGTGGGGCCAGGACATTAGAAGCCCTTCCACTGTTGACCCCCCCCCCAAGCACCAAGATGACAGAGCATCACTTGCCCCAGAGTCCCTATCTATGCCTTGTGGCTCATAGCCACTGATGGACCTCTGCTCCAGATGCTTATCTAATTCCCTCTTGAAGCCGTCCATGCTTGTAGCCGCCACCACTTCCTGTGGCAGTGAATTCCATGTGTGAATCACCTTTTGGGTGAAGAAGTACTTCCTTCTATCCGTTCTAACCCGACCGCTCAGCAATTTCATGGAGTGCCCACGAGTTCTTGTATTGTGAGAAAAGAAGAAAAAGGACCTCTTTCTCTACCTGCACTGTCCTAAGAAGGGACAGTGACACGCGGGGCAGCCATGCCAGCAGGACCTGGCGCAGCCCTGAGCTACTCTGCAGCTTCTGCCACCCAGGCCTTTACCCAGACGCCATCGTCAGCTCACCGCGGCCCCTCGGGGCCCAGCTCCTTCCCTGCGCTTGCCACCACTCGGGGGCCCTGGGCTGGATGGGAAGTCAGGGGGGCCTTGCCAGCAAGTCAGGGGGCCTAGCCCTGAGATGCCCCCTGTAGCTGCAGTCCTGGGGCTGACCTTGCTTCACACTTCCAAGCTCTGATGAGACCAGGCTAGCCTGCGCCATCAGGTCAAGGTGGAATGCATACGCACCTCTTGATTCCTTGCCACCTGGTGTTATGTACGCGGACCGCCACCAGGGGTCCGCGGCTAGAGTCGGAGCTTAGCTCCTCTAAACAATAGGAACCTAGGATCCTAGTTCCCCCCAGCATTAACCAATAGCAGCTTTGGCGGGAAATTCAGACCCTCCAACGGGACTGTGGGTGTGCTGGGTGGTTGTGTATATAGTTGGCCTTGCGGGGCCGTTTTGCAGTTCCAGTGTTAATTACAATAAACGTGTGCAAACGCATGTCGTTGTCTGAGTCCTCCATGCGGCGAACCCAGTACTTTTCACCTGGCATCTGAGTATGTGAACTGCCTCTCTCGGGAAGCACTGGATTGGACTGGATACCGAAATTCCCAGAACGGTAATGAAGGAGTCATGCAGTCATCAAAGTATGCATGTTTTAACCAGTGCATCCTCCACCTTCTCCCAGTTTGGAGGGAAACTACATAGGTAAAGCCCAGGACATAAGAGAACATGAGAGAAGCCAATGTTGGATCAGGCCAATGGCCCATCCAGTCCAACACTCTGTCACACAGTGGCCACAAATACCAGGTGCCCTCAGGAGGCCCAGCAGTGGGGCCAGGACACTAGAAGCCCTTCCACTGTCCCCCCCCCCCAAGCACCAAGAAGACAGAGCATCCCTTGCCCCAGACAAGGACATAAGAGAAGCCAGTGTTGGATCAGGCCAATGACCCATCCAGTCCAACACCCTGTGTCACACAGTGGCCAAAAATACCAGGTGCCGCCAGGAGGTCTAGCAGTGGGGCCAGGACACTAGAAGCAGTGGGGCCAGGACACTAGAAGCCCCTCCCACTGTTGCCCCCCCCCCCAATCACCAAGAAGACAGAGCATCCCTTGCCCCAGACCAAGAGT